GTGTAGTTGCACTTATTTATACCAAGCTGAATCTGGCCTTAACTTATGTGTTCATTTTCTCCCCCCCCCGCCCCCACACACTTATTTTTGTTTGCACAGAAAATACCTTCTTCATAACTGAAATAATTATTCTTGCTATTATTTCGACTGTAATGTGCCCACAGTGTGCCCAACCCTTTACCAAAACAAATGAAGATAAAGTCCCTGCCCCACAGAGTGTACAGTCCAAAATACAATCACCCATGAGATGAACAACTCTATACAGCAATTCAGGAGAATAAGTAAATAACTCTGAGCTGGACAGGGCACTGGGGACTAATAGCTCAACTCTTACAGAGAGTTCATTTGGAACTTTAATGACCACAAGCAGTCAGAACCTGGGTTTCATATGTCTCTCCAGAAAGAGAGTCTCATGCCTTCACCTGCACAGCCCCCTCTCCCAACCTGCTGATGTCAATGGAAGCAAGATCTGCCTCCTACTGAGTCACCACCACCACTCACTGCAGTTTTTTCTTGCAGGCCTCCCTTTAAGTTACTCAATGAACACATTCTGTGGAAATGTTGCTCCCTTATCAAAACAAAGTCATTAAGATTGTGGTGACAAGTCATTCTGGTCAATTTTCTTCAGTGGATCCTGTGCTTGTATTTTGTGTTGAAAGATTATGATAATTGGATCACGTTTATTAATATGTTTTACAAACAGGAAATAAAGGAAAATTATCAGAATTGTAGTGAGCCTCAAATTTTCTTTTGGAATTTCTGCCTAAAAATGTTAGTATTTACTGCCTATAGTCAACCTCTGGCCAGAGCACTAATCAGATGAAGGATATACATCTAATTTAATCATGTTTGTCAGGTTTCAATGATGTTTAAATAATTCTCATATCTGCCACTATAAACTGTGGGAGTAGATTTGCAGATGCTATGACAAGATAGCACACAGTGTATAAAATTTCCAATTGTCTGTTATCAACTTCTCCCTCTGAAAATGACTTCCTGGACTTTGAGTGAGTTTACTCTACCCTGTCTCTCCTCAATATTTCAAGATACTGTACTTCTGGAGAAACCTATTGAAACCTGGAATAAATGCAAAACACTTGAAAGGGAGGCAATGCTCACTGCCGACTCTCTCCCAGAGGACATTAAAAAAAAACTTTGCTTAAGAAAAAACAAACACGCTTTTAATGCCAACTTTGTTCAGACGGGAGGTTCTTCTCCACCTACTCTGGGAAAATAATTTATAAAGCAAAGCATTATTAACAACAGAATAAGCATAATCAAGCTTGGCTACAATCCCAATCATATGCACATCCAGAGTCTTAGCTAAGGGCCACATTCTGCCCTGGGAGACAGAAGTAGACCCAACTCCCACTGAAGTTAATGGGCAGACTCTGTCAGAAGGCAGAGTCTAGCTCTGATTCTCAAGATGCTACCATTTTGGTTTCATTATCTTTGATACCCTCATGGCACAGGTGTAAAGGACTGCACATGTCTGTCTCTAGTAGTTCAGTAGTACCTATAAAAACTTATTTCTATGACAATCAGATCATGTCTAGACCCTAACTGAAAACACAAAACTATCTTTCAGCCCTATTTCACTTCCAACTGTTTTGGGGTTTGTTTTTGGTTATTTTTGTATTTTATTTTTTTAAATAAGCTTGCTGCGTTGAGGATTTAAACATTTGCATTTGAATTCCTTTACATTTGTCTGTATCACGAATTCCACAATAATAACTTTCAACAGAAGACATTCTGGGATATTTACAGTGAATCTGAGGTAAATACACTACTGTAAGAACTTTATCTTCCTTTTAGAGGAAATGATACTGATTTTCAGACTACTGTCTTCTTCCTTCATAGAGCCAGTGGCCCTGCCTAGACTACTACATCCCTAGAGCATGCAGATTTCTGGTATACAATTGTTCAAGTATAAGTAAAATATATATCTTACTGTTAGCTTTCCTCAAGCAGTCTGCTACTAGACATGTTAACATTGTAATGGTCATTTGGTCACCCTCCATCGCTCTGCCTAGAGCAGGGGTGGCCAACCTGAGCCTGAGAAGGAGCCAGAACTTACCAATGTACATTGCCAAAGAGCCACAGGAATACGTCAGCAGCCTACCATGAGCTCCCCCCTCCCAGCGCCACCCACCCACCGGCAGTCCCGCCAATCAGCGTCTCCCCCTCCCTACCCGCACCTCAGCTGTTTCGTGGCATGCAGGAGGCTTGGGAGGGGAGGGGGGAGGAGCGAGGGCACAATAGGCTCAGGGGAGGGGGCGGGAAGGGGTGGAGTGGGGGCAGGGCCTGTGGCAGAGCCAGGGGTTGAACAGTGAGCACCCCCTGGCACATTGGCTCCTGTAGCTCCAGCCCCAGAGTTGGTGCCTACACAAGGAGCCGCATATTAACTTCTGAAGAGCCACATGTGGCTCCGGAGCCACAGGTTGGCCACCCCTGTCCTAGAGAATGAAACATTATTGCTGAAATGCAAAACTCCTGTGCAGTAGATTGCACAGACTGAGCCAAATTCTGCATGGTCCATTGATTCAGCAAGTCCACTGATCTCAGTGAGGCAGCAAAAGGTGTGTGTCAACATGGGACTTGGCCCTTTCAATCTAACATTGGGGAGGATACTTTTGAACTGTTTCATCCTGAGAAACGTGTGCATAAGTTGGGCAAATGGCTGTGCAAACACATCCTTGACACCTAAGTGATGTAAATTGGATAAATGCCGCTCAGTAAAGAGTGGGAAATATTCTGACTCATATACCCTTAACATCTAATTCAGCAATATTTGGGACAGCAGGCAGTCTTTTCTTGCTTAGGATATAGCATGAATTACAATTAGCTACTTTAAATTTGAGGGGGGGGGGACATTTTGCTGTAGTGCTGAAATCTCAGATACTAGAGTCTATGAAGCTCACACTGAGGGCTGTTTATTCTTCACCTGGCTGTGTTTTGTTAGCTAGCACTGCAAATTCTTTCATCTTCCTGAACTCAAAAGTATTCCCAAAGACATAAGAGAGAGAATGATTCTTGCCCAGGACTTCCTATTCTCAGCAGGGACTGAAGGACAGAGCTAATCCCACACACAGGCTTAGCTGGTCTACTTAGCAAACAGACAATGCAAAATTGCTTCAGTGACTTTAAAAATAAACAAACGATTTAATGACCAGGCTAATACGGGGAAAGTGGGGAGGTTTTGATTTGGAGCTGTCTGAGTCCTGCACTGGAATGAGACACTGGAGTGTGTGCTACACTTCTTCAAAGACTTCAAAGATACCATCAAAGCAGAAAGCATCAAACTTGTAGGTTTTTACTAACCCATTTCTAAAGCTACAATGTCAGCAGGACTCCAGTCCCAGGTTGGCTGCTTTATATTATGCAAGCAAAAGAAACGGAGGTATCCAAAGTCAGGAAGAGAAGATACTCTATTTGACTTTGATGGTTCAATCAAAAATTTGATATTAATAAATTACAGTACATGGCTTCTCTGAGGTCCGCTGACGAGATGAGGTTTTATTTAAGTGAGGGGCCAGAACTGTAGCAGGAAAATATATTTTTTGATACCCAATGTGGGTGTGGATGAGCTTCTTAGAGTACCAGTCTTGAAGACCAGGAAAAGGCCAAGGCTGAGGAGCAATTCTAAAATCAGGTGGCGTGGAAGGTAGTGAAATCTACTGGTGTGGGGCCAGGAGACCAGGGTGCTATTCCTGAATCTAAGGCCCAGTATGAGATGAGGGTGCACAGCACTTTGCAGGACTGAATCATAACTCACTAAGCATGAAATAGGTAAGTGGTGCATAGCCCTTGTGTTTGCCTTTTGCACAGGCGTTACCTTGGACAAGTGGGGTATATAGGATGTAGAAGGAGAGGTAATATCTCCGAAAGTCAGAGCACTCACACTCTTGAGTGGTTCTCTTTCACTGGTCCTCACTTCACACCCAGCACTCATCTGTGGCTCCAAGTAGCTGCCCATACGCGGCAGTACACACGCAATCCGGGACACCTTCTTCAACTGTCAGGCTAAACCACAATGAGGGTAGCCATGGAGGAACACCCATGGTGAGGGGAAATGTTGCATGGAATACGTAAGGCCTGCCAAAACACAAAGGCATCAATGATTATCCACTGCAGCTAATCCAGGTCCCAGTCGTGATGACCCTTCCTGCACTGGTGTTTTACTTCCGCAGCTGACAGAATGATATTGCCTCCGTGCAATGCTCTCGTCATTTAAAAATCAGCGCACAGGCATTCACGTATCATAGAAACAAAGTCCTGTGGCAATGGATGAGTAGTGAAGTGACAGGCATAGGTGAGCACTGGGATTCCAGTCAGAGCCTGCACGCTTATGTGTGACATCTGTTCATGAGCTTACGCCTCACAGATTGGACTATATAGCCACATGGGAACACAAGTGATGTGGTGACATCATCATCGGATATGACAGACAGTCATATCTTGGACAATGCAGTGTTGTTGTAACCATGATGGCGCCAGGATATTGGAGAGACAAGGTGGGTAAGGAAATATCTTGTATTGGACCAACTTCTGTTGGTGAGAGAGACAAGCTTTCGAGTTTTCTAGTAAGAGGCTTTGAGATCTTTAGCAACAAGATGCTATGTTAAGTACAAAGTCTTATTATTATGTATTATTTTTATTGTGTTATAAAGTCCACAGCCTACAAGTGAGTCAGAATCCTTCTCAATTTGGATTTTTAATTTATCTAACTTTTTCTCATATTCCTCCTTTGATACTCACTCCTGACTGCCAGGTATTGACTTTTGTTTGATGGTGCCCCTAGCAACATCTGCTGTTAGCAACATGTCTGTCAGCTTCAGCAAAGAAAACCAAATTCTGTCTATAAAGCAATTGATCCACCAATGAACACAGGCTTAGCCAAGCAAAACTAACTTCTCAAAGCAACTCTCTTTCATTAAGATCTTAAAACTCGCTGCTATCTAAATCTCTGAGCCACATTATCAGCTCACCTTTATCCTTTTTAAGAACTGTATCTTCAGAATGCTATTGTTTTGAATGGCAAATCCTACCCTATATTATGATAGCTAAACATTACTCTGTTTTTCATAACCATAAAAGTAATAGATTATGTTAGAAAATATCTGCATATTCTATATTCTGCCATTTCTGCATCTGTGCAGTGTTTCCCCTCTGATTTAAACCCATAGAAGGAGGGAAAATCAGACTTGAGATTGAAAGTCTGAGCTAACTGTAACTCCTGCCATAGCTTCCAAAGTTTTGCAAAAACAAATTAATTATTCAGATAGCATTTTCCCCCTCTGGATTTCCTTCAGTTTGCTCTTGAAATCTGACATTTAAATGTACCCCAAATGCTAAGAACCTATGTTATTCACCCCTGAAAAATTGCAAGTTAATTATAGGAAAGCAAAAAAGAATAAACTGCTGTAATTTTTTAAAAATTACTCTAATCATGTATTTTGTTGATTACTGTGGAAGTGAGTGGGCTTGGTCAGGTGCAACAATCAGTGAAAAAACTGCTGCATAGTATTTGTATATTAATTACCCATTTTTAAAACAGCATAATTCTAGGCCTGATGTTCTCCCTCTCATTTTTTTCCTATCGCTCCTACCACAGTAGTATCTAACCAGTGATATTCCCATGTGTGGTCTTGTCATGAGGGTGGAAGGCCTGTCCTATTTTTAAGATGGCACAGAAAGAGTCTCGCAGACTTAGCAGTCTTTCTGCAGTGCCTTAGTGCCTCTGACTTCCAATTTTGTGCACTCTGTAGTGTGCTACGAACTCTGAAGCACACAATGCCAGATACTGCAACGTTTGAAATAGAAATGTCATTTATAATAAGAAGTCTCATTCAACACTGAATGTTTCTAACTATGCACATACAGACATATAATACGCAATGGCATCTTTCCCCATTATAGCTCACTTTTTAAAAAACAACATATAATTTTTTGTATACAAAAGCAAGGAAATTATGGATTTCATGCTGCCAGAGAGGGAGGGGACATTAAAGTTAATACCATATGAAGTGAGAAAAATACTACATAAGCACAAAATGGCTGAATTATGGTTGCTGCAGGAACCAGACCTCTGGATTGCCTCACTTACATGCTTTTAAAATCTCAACTATGCTATTTCTGTAATGTAGACATTTGCATGTAATATGTGCAAAATAAGGAAATGATACAAATTGATTTACTCTCTGCTAGTCCTAAATTGGTTCTTGTAGATGCACTTTTATTTGATATGACATGCTCCCACAATGATAGGATCTGTCATAAGAGCATTCAATTCCAGCATTACTGGTGATTACAAAAGGGGAATTAGCAAAGCCAGAAAAAAAATCAGAAAATTAAGAGAGAGATAATGTTTAGGAAGCATACAAGTATCTAAGGGTACATCTACACTACAGGGGGGAGTCGATTTAAGATACGCAAATTCAGCTACGTGAATAGCGTAGCTGAATTCGACGTATCGCAGCCGACCTACCCCGCTGTGAGGACGGCGGCAAAATCGACTTCTGCGGCTTTCTGTCGGCGGCGCTTACTCCCACCTCCGCTGGTGGAGTAAGAGCGCCGATTCGGGGATCGATTGTCGCGTCCCGACGGGACGCGATAAATCGATCCCCGAGAGGTCGATTTCTACCCACCGATTCAGGCGGGTAGTGTAGACCTAGCCTAAATGATCAATCAGAAACAGAAACCCATCCAGTGTGTGTTAGCAACACCCAGGAAAGTTAATTTTCCAGCTAGCAGCCAAGTCACAATTCTACAAGGAGAAAATTAATGAGAGAATGGTGAAAGGACGCTACATTCAGAGAGACTTTGACAGATGGGAAAAGTTGACCATGTCATAGGGTTGGGGCATGAGGGAAATTAGATGAAGTGTTACCTGTCTAGCATGCTTCCAAGTAAATCTGTACCAACCTACATTTGATGTTTCTTTAGAAATGATCACAATATGGAAAAACTGCCAGACATAATAGTCTTATCACATCAAATCTGATGCAAGAACATATCTTTAAAATGCTTCCTTCACTCTCTTGAATTAAACACACAGGAAAATGCCTTATTGGATGAAAGTTGATGATGTAGATTGGCTTTGCTGCCCTTCCCCACAACCCATTTTCCTAAATCAAGGGGCAACTTCCTAGATGAACTGGAAGTTGTGCTTTCTGCTGTTTTGTAGAATTAAGAGGGCTCAGGAGACTATTTACCAGTTATGAAGTCTTCTTAGTATGGCAACACCATAGTTAGAATCATGGATTGCATGTCAATATGGCTCTGTTTCATTTCTTGTTTAGCAACATCACCAGTGAAATACACAACACTCGGAGAATAAGGTCTAACCTATCTTGTGTACCATTCACAGCAGCACAGAAGGTCCTGCATGAACATCAAGAAATGTAAACATTATTGTGGATTAAAATTTAAAAAAATAAGCCTAGATGTTTAGAATATGGAGTCGCTTCCCCAGCTTATTCTAACAGTTCTTACAGGTGTGATTTTTTTAAAGCAACCCTTGAATATTGAGAATTAAATTGAGACTATTTGTTTAAATCACCTTCTATTTCTATTGGCATCACTAGAAAAAGATGAATATAAAAGGCAGAGTGATATCTAATAGCAAGATGTACAGTGGGATATTGAGCCATTGTTAATAGAATTCAGAATTCCTCTCTGTAGAGCATACAGAACAGAGATTGTGGCACACACACTGACAGGCTCCATTGAAATACAGCTGGTTTTTAGTTGTAGGTTTGATCTACCTCTGTCATCTCCTTACCTCACCTTGGCTCAGGCCTGCTGTCAGCTCTCAAATTTCACTGTTTGATGCTGCCCTGCATCTCAGTTTACTAGTAGAAAAAGCCTGAACAAATAAAAATCAGTTTCAGTGTTGCACACACTATGAAAAACTCCTGGATCCACAATGCCAGGAGATATCTCAGCCTTCCAACACCAAATTTCTTCCCACGAGACAGTCTGCCCCCAATTCTGAAACAATTTAAATAGTTAATTAAAGCAGGAAAAGCCCTGGGATTGGCAATGCTGTCTAAGGCTAGGTCTACACTACGGGGGGTGGGGGGGGAGGGGGGAGGTGTCGATCTAAGATACGCAACTTCAGCTACGTGAATAGTGTAGCTGAAGTTGGGTATTTTAGGTCGACTTACCTGGCTGTGAGGACGGCGGCGAATCGACCGCTGCCGCGCCGCCGTCAACTCCGCTTCCACCTCTTGCCACAGTGGATTTCTGGAGTCGACGGCAGAGCGAAGAGGGATCGATTTTATCGCGTCTTCACTAGACGCGATAAGTCGATCCCCAATAGATCGATTGCTACCAGCCGATCCGGCGGGTAGTGAAGACATGCCCTAACTCTGCGCCTACCCAGTGGGTGTGGATTTAATGCAGCATCCATTTCAAAGAAGGTACATGCAGAGCGACATACTTTGTACCATTGAGGGAATGCAAGCAAGGTTACAGTAAATGTAACACACTGGCAGCATAGGTGCCACATTCCCCTCTGTTGTCTGGTCCACTAGAGGAAGCAGCCTTCTACTGCTACCAAATAAGAGTTCCTCTTTTACTGAAAGTGCTAGAGTCTGTGCTGACGGACCTGTATTCAAACCATGCTGACAACCCAAATAGAGGAGAAGCCCTTTTATTAACTCATCTCAAAATGTAGGAATTCTAATCTACTTCTTTTCCTGCATCATCCCTCCTAAGGCAAACTTTGGTCTTAGTGTCTCGTCCTTCAGTCTTATACAAATCCATTTCACCACCTGATTCCTTCTACCCACATCAGACCCTTCTCCTCCTGCTCAGCAAAACTGCTGAGTCCTCTCCTCCTTTCACCTCTTTGCCTGCGACACAATCCAAAGTCCATTCTACCCCAATATGTACCTAGGCCAATAACCTCTTGAATGTACGGTGGGATCTGACTACATCTGCTGGGCCAGCTGCTGTTTTGAAATCACTTAGGGGCTTCCGCGTGTCAGAACAGAATGCATTTACCACGTGATCACTCAAAATCAGGATATCTGCAGACAGCTAGAGGCAAGTCAAAAGTTCCAGTCCTACTGAGATCCCCATAAAAGACATGGTGGGATATGGGGCACATCAGGCCAGATCAAGCTTTGGACTTGGTAGAAGTCTATGTATCAGAAGAGATCCTTCAAAAGGCCTGGGCTCAGTTTGGTGTGTGGACTGTCACTCACCTCTTTAATATCTACAGCTCAGCCCCACAAAGTGCTTATCTGTTCTTTAGATGAGTTATTCAATCCAAATGCTTCTGGCTTGTCCCTAGCAGGTGCTGTCCAGGTTATAGATCCCAGGGTACTTTTGGAAGAGAAGTAGTAACAAACAGGTGTCCTAGCCAACACTCCCCTTTCTAATGGGTGATGCTCTGCATTAATTAGTGCTAAGCACACAATAGCTGCTGCATTCATCTAGATGCACTTTCACTACTAACACAATTACTACACTTCCTACCCTGGATGCTGTGAGAGAAATGGCATGCACCAGTCTTGTGCCACGTGGGGACTCCCTGATACCAGGAGACTTCTCAGCTGGGTGGTTAAGCCAGCAATTACAACCTTTTTATTCTATATTGTTGGGCAGTAATTGTCAATATGCAGTAATCTAGAGCAGTGGTTCACAAACTTATTTGATCGCATCCCCCTTCTTTATAGTAAACTTTGTAGTAGTTTACGCCTGCCACCCTGATACATATACACAGTTAAAAAAAATCAACATGCAACTCTCACTAAATAGTAAAAACAGTAAGGCACTGATTCAAACAGAGCCATTGAAGTCTAGAGTAATGTACATTTTCATTGAGATACTGCTTACTGGCACCACACTGTAGTTACTAGTGTGACGGGAGTGCCTGTTTTTGGAGCAGACCAATTCCACGAATTACGCAAATGAGCCAACAATCCATTGTAGTAAGAGCAAAAGCAAAACTGCGATTGTGGTCAATGCTTACAATTAAATGCGCACATCGCATCCTAGCAGACGGAATAACATACAGATGGCAACGACTTTGTATAATGCTATGCAAGCTTAGCAGAAATCTGTCAAAATGCACAGCACCATCTAAAGTAAAATGCACAGCACCATCTGAGGACCTGATATGTCTGGAGGAATCAGCTTTGCTAGTCATTCATTCCTAATGAAGGGCCTGATCCTGCACGGTGATGGGCACTCTGCGGAAGTACAGATTCAGTAACAGCAAGTTAACTTTTTTTTAAAAAGATTTTGCGACACTGGCTTCTAAGGCTTGCTGTAAAATTTATATACCACCACCTAAACTCCAAAGTACTGTAACTACTACTGCTGCTAGATCATCGTGTATGGCCCCCATTCAAGATCCTTCAGGATAAAGAGGAGAATCCTGGGTATCTTTTAAACATATGGAGCTGTAGCACTTGCAGGCAGTAGTATATTGTGCTTTGCCTGCTGAAAGGACAGAAAACATGCACTTTCAAAACCAGTAAAATAAAATCACTAACCAGAGGTAACGAGCCAAATGTAACTTTCAGTTTCACCAGTGCCTTTGCCTTGATTGGATAAGAGCTATCTTGCTGGTGCAAAATCCAGAGAAGACTGAGCAAATGCTGGTTAGCTGTGGGAAACAACCAGAAAAACTTGTAAAGGATTACAGGCTTGAACCAAAGCCTATGGCAGTCAATGGAAAGATTTCCATTGATTTCAATGGACTTTAGATCAGGCCTTAGATCAGCAACTCTGATTGCAAGACTGTAGCATCATTAAACAGGTTCACCGTTTAGGAATCTTAGTACATCAGGGGCTACTCTTAGATACTCAGGTATCAGCCATAGCCAAGAGCTCTCTTTTCATCTCTGTGTGGAGATATAACTGTGACCATTCCTTCTGGACAAGGCCCTTGCTACCTCAAGATTAGACTACAGCAATGTGCTTTATTTGAGGGTCCATCTTGAGTCCACTCAAAAAGTGAAGACTGACGGGCAGCAAAGTCCGCACTATGAAAGAGAGCTGCATGTCATGTGGTCGGCACAAAACTATAAAGGAAGCACTGAGAAGGAGATTCACTAATGGATCATCGTCCCCAGTTTCTGTTTTCTTTCTCCTTTATTTTTCTGCTATAGTTAAGAATTAAATATTTAGGATTTGGTTCTTAGCACTCTGTGCTGTAACTTGTAAATTCACTTCCACACCCAATGGTCAGGATATGTAAAATTACAAGACACTACTGTCTCCAAGTCTTTGAAGATAAAAGTACAATGAGCACCTTCAATCAACAATCCTTATTAGAATCAACAAGGTCTAATGTTGTAATCTTTTTTTACTTACCTGTTCTTAAAGCAATTGCATGTTTTTAATTAGTATGCGGAGCGGGGTAAAACGAGCTATTTATAAACTTCAAACTCTAGCAGTGAAAGCTCATAAGTCTAAGATAAATCTTCTCCCTTCTGGTCATCCAATACAATGACAGAAATATTATGGGAGAGAAGGAACAGGATCCTGGTTCTAATATTTCTAAACACAACCAGTGTTATGATGGAATTAATGGGGGAGCAGTAAGATATAAAACCACCTACAAGAATAAGCCTCTCTCAATGAAGGAGATTAATTGTCTGGAGGGTAAAAGGGGTCTAAATGTGAACAATGGGATAAAGTTAAGAAAATAACATTCAGACTGAACATTAAGGAAAATGTTCCACTAGCAAGATCGACAAGTCTGGAAAGAGTATCTCAATGGGATTGCTTGTTTGAGTGGTTTAAAACTGGACTAGGGAAAGCTCTTGCCGTGGACTGCAGGAAGTAAAACTGGATGTGATGGAAGGACAAACGCTGCTATGTCTTTTCCAGCTCTAATTTCTATAGCATCTATTGCACTATTCTTTCTTTACTGTTCAAGAAGGCTTACCTGACATTTTCTTTTTTCATTGTCCAACAGTGATGATTAGATTTTTCAAGAGCAGCTGTATTGGATATTCATGATTTTCAATAGGAAATAATTTTAAGTGTTTCTAAAATATTTTGTGACATAAAAATTTGGTGGGAAATTTTTATCTTGCTGGTAAACCCTCAAGTTGCTCTACGATCTTCCATCTCAAGCAAACTAATCAAGAGGTGCTTTTCTGCTAAAATTCCATAATACAAAATCCTAGTCATAAGGACGAAAATCAAAGTCTAGTCATTCGTGTGCTGGCAGTTTAAATAAACCTCTATATGCTCCTGGATAAGAAAGCACTACATCAAGGCTAAAACATAATACTATAGCTTGAAAATGAGAGCCAGAAAATAATGTATCCTGTAGGGCTACTGTCAAATGGGATTTTTCTTTAGTCAGTACAAACCAAATCTGAATAGCAATGACTATAAGGGGCATCAAGATGCAGATGCATTCTGCCAAGAGCCACTTAGACAAGTAGGAGGAGAAATAAGGAGAAACGGCATCAGGAACAAAATCTTCTTCAGAATCACAGAAATGTAGAAGGAAAAAAAGTACTAGAAATCATTTACTCTGACAGTATGGGATTGTTCATTGTATTTAATTCAGAGCTGATCAAATTATTCATTTGAATAACAGACGTAGTGAAGTTAGCTCTTTCTTCCGTTTGGGGGCAATTCACCCTCTGCAGAAGGCCTGTTTTGAGGACTGAGTTGGAACTTGAAGTGATGACTAGACTTTGTGCTGGCCTATCTGCAGGCAAGACAGGATTTACACCTTATGCGCCCCTCCCACCCACCCTCCGCCTACAGCTGACCTTTGTGTTTTCCATAAAAAATGAATCTTTTAAGCCACTTTTAACTTTTAGGCACCCCCTAGGAATGTGCCTACTGTGCCTAACTGGAAGTCCAGCCCTGTCTGCAGAATGAATTTCACCCTTTTCATGCTATCTGGAATTCACTGAATAGTTCACCAAAATAATTTCACCTATTTGCTTTTTGTTTGTTTGTTTGTTTGTTTGGTAGTGTGTAACTGGTTACCTAAGTGCTTCTGCTGTCTGATTTGAGAACAGAAGCTTTAAATGGGAGGATAATAAATTATGAATTATAAATAACATTTCCATTTTAGATATTCGAGTGAATATACATGCATGCAAAAATTATGATTAGCTAATATGTTCAAGAGTATTCAAATTATTACTGGGTGTTAATAAAAATGAATAACAACCTCACATAACACTGGATTGAACTCACCCCTTTTATTCATAAACTACCTTTTGTATTATTTGTCCACCACACCTTTTCCGGGTCTGGCATTTAATATTCCAGTCAATGAGGGCTTCTGCTATTGCCCTTGCAAGCCTATTTCACAAGTTAACAGAATCAAGTTTTAGGCAAGGATTGCTGATATTCAGGCTAATTTTCCCTTTCCCACCTAGCTTAATTTCATCAATGATGCAAAGTAACATTAAAACATTTGCACTACTAGTGGAAACTTGACTCAAAATTTATTTGGGGGGGGGGGCGCGATTGGAGGAACTGGATTAATAAAAGGAAAATTTAGTAATTTTACCTGAACTTTTGACTCTGTCAGGAGGCAGGTTTTTTTTCTCATGGATACTTTTAAATGTCATTTATTGGAGTGCATCATGCACACAGCACATTACACACCATCATTTTTGACTGATGTCGCTGTATCTTAACTCCTCAAAACAAACTGCAACGACACACTCCACCACTGCATTTTCTCTGTCTAATCTCATGAAAAAAAAATTGAATCTCACCCAGACATTAATTAGGGCTGAGCAGTAACCATTTAGGCTTTGCACGAATCCTATGGGTGTCATGAGAAGATAGTGTTGCTAAAGTAATTACTCTCTTTTTATTCAATACTTGAGTAAATACTAATGCCAAATGGTCACATGAATCACAGGAATGAAAGTCAGTGCTATCTCTGCCTATCACATATTAGCCTTCTTGCTTTGGGAACACTGGCAACTGAAGAGCGTGAAGAGGCTGAGAAGCGGAGAATCCCTTTTGGGAATTACTACCGGTAGCCATATCCTACAGTATTTTTTGTCCATAGAGTAAGTACATTTCTGCCATTAGCTGCTATTGGTCCATTTATTCCATACACTGGCTATTCTCTGAGCCAAGAGCATTACCTTGCTTTACAGAGCAGAGAAAGCTCCTGATAAACATTATCTTTAGACAGGCTTAGAAACATTTCTGCTTCAGTACAGTATACCTTCTGTATTTTCCTCTGTTCATCTCCCATGGTGGAAAAAATTACTTGAAACTTCAGAACTTTGTTTTTGAAGTTTTTTAATCTTCTCCAGCCAAAGTCATAGGTCCAAATTGTGCCCCACTGCAGTCAAAGTCACCTGACTTTAGAAAATCCTACAAGGGCAAGTTATTCCATAATGGCCCATTTTGTGATTTCTTACACCTTTCTCCACTCTGTCTCTGAAGCATCTGTCAGAAAGAAGAGTGGAGTTCTTGTCTGCTAATCCATTCCAGTAATTCCTATCCTCATGTGAAAGAATTAAATAAAATCAGTTGTGCTCTTGAGAAAACAGATCCCAACTATAAAACTATTTCCCCATGCTTATTTCCCCTCCTACAGTTCCGCACATCTTCTTGTCAATTGCTGGAAATGGGCCATTTTCATTACTACTACAAACAGTTCTTTTTTTCTCTCTTGCTGATAATAGGTCACCTTAACAGATCACTCTCGTTATAGCATGTATGGTAACATCCATTGTTTCTATGTTCTCTGTCTGTGTGTGTGTGTGTGTATATATATATATATATATATAGATCTTCCTACTGTATTTTCCACTGCATGCATCCTATGAAGTGGGCTGTAGCCCACCAAAGCTTATGCTCAAATAAATTCGTTACTCTCTAAGGTGCCACAAGTACTCCTGTTCTTTTTGCGGATATAGACTAACACAGCTGCTACTCTGAAACCCAACTATACAGGAACTCTAGTCATTTCCTGTACAAGCAGACACTGACCTTGCCAGCAAGATTGTATAATAATGAATAAACCAAATTCGGTGATGAATCCCAGTCATGTGCCATCTGAGGAACATTGCACATATGCTAAGAAAAAAAACACACAAGTATTTTTCAGCTTTGGGCTTATGCATAATATCTTTGTATTCTGCACCAGTATTGATATCAATTAATAGTACGCATCTTGGCAAAAACTGATTTATAGAAATTTTTTAACATTGCAATTTGAAGTAACAGTACTGTATCTACTGTGATATGTAGACATACATACATATGTACAAGAATGTAGCTGTGCCTACACCTTGCACACTAAGTAATACTCTTTGTACAAAGTATGTCTTGTGAGGTATCATTTGAAAACTCATAATTTGCATCACCTCTCTCGCCCTACCCATCGCATTCACGGCATCTGAAGCAAGCATTTGTTGAAATATGGAAGAAAGGGCCCTGACCTACGAAGTTTGGTCAGTAAGACTGCTGAAAGCATGTGGTGAGAAAACTCTGCTTGGAATTAAACAGTTTGTAAAGTTAGGCACCCGTTACGTTTTAACTTTATTTTTCTTGTAACCATTTCTGATTTTTATACCTCATTACTTGTACTCACTTAACATCTCTCTCTTTGCAGTTAAATTTGTTTTATTGTTTTACCTAATGCAGTGTGTTTAA